TCGTCTTGAGACATCTGCTGAAGGGTGCTTCTTCTCTCTCTGTTCTCCGAGTTCCTAGGATGTCTCTCTAGGAAAATGTGTCTTTCTCTGAAGTTTGCTCGAAAATCGTCTGCTGAAAGTGTTTCTTCTCACTCTCCGTTCTCTGAGTTCCAGTGTGTCCTTTGTTTTTCTTAAATGTGAAACTTAACTCTGTGTTAGAACAGAGATGAAGGTCTATCTCTGTGAAGAGGTGGTCCTAAACTCTTGGTCTTGTTTTATCCATCCATCCATTTTCTTCCGCTTATCCGGGGTCGGGTCGCGAGGCTAGCAGCCTAAGTAGGGAGGCCCAGACTTCCCTCTCCCCAGCCACTTGGGCCAGCCCTTCCGGGGGAATCCTGAGGTGTTCCCAGGCCAGCCGAGAAACGTAATCCCTCGAGTGTGTCCTTGGTCTTCTTCTGGGCCTCCTCCCAATGGGACGTGTCTGGAACACCTCACCAGGGAGGTGTCCAGAAGGCATCCTAAACAGATGCCCGAGCCACCTCAACTGGCTCCTCTCGACATGGAGAAGCAGCGGCTCTACTCTGAGTCCCTCCCGGATGATCGAGCTTCTCTATCTCTAAGGGAGAACCCAGACACCCTGCGGAGAAAACTCATTTCGGCCGCTTGTATCCGAGATCTCATTCTTTCGGTCACAACCCAAAGCTCATGACCATAGATGAGGGTATTAACGTAGATCGATCGGTAAATAGAGAGCTTCGCCTTTTGACTCAGCTCTCTCTTCACCACGACAGACCTGTACAGCGCCTGCTTCACTGCAGACGCTGCACCTATCCGCCTATCGATCTCACGCTCCATTTTTCCCTCATTCATGAACAAGACCCCAAGATACTTGAACTCCTCCACTTGGGGTAGTACCTCCTCCCTGACCTGGAGAGGGCAATCTACCCTTTTCCGGCTCAAGACCATGGCCTCGGATTTGGAGGAACTGATCTTCATCCCGGCTGCGTCGCACTCGGTTGCGAACCGCTCCAGCGAAAGCTGTAGATCATGATCTGATGAAGCCAACAGGACCATATCATCTGTAAAAGGCAGAGAAGCAATCCTAAGGCCACCAAAATGGATCCCCTCAACACCTTGGCTGCGCCTAGAAATTCTGTCCATAAAAGTTATGAACAGAATCGGTGACAAAGGGCAACCTTAGCGGAGTCCAACTCTCACCGGGAACAAGCCCGACTTACTGCCGGCAATGCGGACCAGGCTCTGACACCGGTCATACAGGGACCTAACAGCCCATATCAACGGGCCCGGTACCCCATACTCCCAGAGTACCCCCCACAGGGTTCCCTGATGGACGCTGTCGAACGCTTTCTCCAAGTCCACAAAGCACATGTAGACCGGTTAGGCAAACTCCCATGCACCCTCCAGGACCCTGCTGAGAGTGTAGAGCTGGTCCAGTGTTCCACGGCCAGGATGAAAACCACACTGCTCCTCCTGAATCTGAGGTTCGACTATTCGACGGACCCTCCTCTCCAGAACCCCCGAATAGACCTTACCAGGGAGGCTTAAGAGCGTGATTCCCCTGTAGTTGGAACACACTCTACGGTCCCCCTTTTTGAATAGGGGGACCACCACCCCGGTCTGCCAATCCAGGGGAACTTCCCCCGATGTCCACACAATATTGCAGAGTCGCATAAGCTAACACAACCCTACAACATCCAGAGCCTTAAGGAACTCCGGGCGAATCTCATCCACCCCCAGGGCCCTGCCACCGAGGAACTTTTTAACAACCTCGGTGACCTCAGCACCAGAGATTGGAGGGCTCGACCCAGAGTCCCCAGGCTCCGCTTCCTCAGTGGAAGACGTGCCGGTGGGATTGAGGAGGTCTTCAAAGTATTCTGCCCACCGACCCACGACATCCTGTGTTGAGGTCAGCAGCACACCGGTGACGTACCGCTTTCCCCCCCGAGACGCTGGATGGTGGACCAGAATCGCCTTGAAGCCGTGTGGAAGTCATTCTCCATGGCCTCTCCGAACTCCTCCCATGCCCAAGTTTTTGCCTCAGCAACCACCCGAGCCGCATGTTGCTTGGACTTCCGGTATCCATCAGCTGCTTCCGGGGTCCCACAGGCCAAAAAGGCCCGAAAGGGCTCCTTCTTCAGCATGACAGCATCCCTCACCTAAGGTGTCCACCATCGGGTTCGAGGGTTGCCTCCGCGACAGGCACCGACAACCTTGCGGCCACCGCTCCGTTAAGTCACCTCGACAATAGAGGCACGGAACATGGTCCACTCAGACTCAATGTCCCCCACCTCCCCCGGAACATGTTCGATGTTCTCCTGGAAGTGGGAGTTAAAACTCCGTCACACAGGATACTCTGCCTGACGTTCCCAGCAAACCCTCACAATATGTTTGGGTCTGCTAGGTCTGACCGGCATCCTCCCCCACCATCGGAGCCAACTCTCCGCCCCTCTCTTCACCCGAGTGTCCAAGACATGTGGCCGCAGATCAGATGAGACAATGACAAATTTGATCATCAAACTGCCGCCTAGGGTGTCCTGGTGCCAAGAGCACATATGGACACCCTTATGCTTGAACAAGGTGTTCGTCATTGACAATCCACGATGAGCACAAAAGTCCAACAACATAACACCACTCGGGTTCAGATCAGGGGGGCCGTTCCTCCCAACAACACCCCTCCAGGTCTCACTGTCATTGCCCACATGAGCATTGAAGTCCCCCAGCAGAACAAGGGAGTCCCCAGGAGGTGCACTTTCCAGTACCCCCTCTAAGGACTCCAAAAAGGGTGGATAATCTGAACTGCCGTTTGGTGAATAAGCACAAACGACAGTCAGAACCCGTCCCCCCACACATAGGCGGAGGGAGGCCACCCTCTCATTCACCAGGGTGAACCCCAACACACAGGCACCAAGTTGGGGGGCAATAAGTATGCCCACTCCTGCTTGGCGTCTCTCACCAGTGGCAACTCCAGAGTGGAAGAGTGTCCAGCCCCTCTCAAGGAAACTGGTTCCAGAGCCATGCATAGAGGTGAGTCCAACTATTTCTAGCCGGAGCCTCTCAGCCTCACACACCAGCTCAGGCTCCTTCCCCACCAGTGAGGTGACATTCCACGTCCCAATAGCCAGCTTCTGTAGCCGAGGATCAGACCGCCAGGGTCCCCGCCCTCCGCCACCACCCATCCCACATTGCACCCGACCCCTTTGGCCCCTCCCACAGGTGGTGAGCCCATGGGAAGGGGGACCCACGTCTCCTCTTCAGGCTGTTTTATAAATCTAAAGTCCTTTTTCTGCCTTAATAGTTTCCTTTTAAAAGAGAAAATAAGACAAATGTATTATCTTAAAGAAAGGATTACTTCAAACACATTTTCTCATGAATAAACATTCAAAATATGACATATTTAGAATCAAACTTAAAACATGCAATGTTTTGAGAGAGGTGTTGCTGTTGACTGTCCATCTTCTAAAAAGGAATGTCAATTTGAACAAAAAAAAGGGTTCTTATGGTGTTATCTTCATGGGAACGAAAGTTTAGGAGTATTACTTTTCGATAAGGCAAGATATCAACGTTGTGAGTTTTTCGGATGTGTGTACGTTTTTTTTTTTTATACTTTAAATTTTTGATATTTTTGGGTGTAACTGGAACCTTGAGTACACAATTTAGTTCCACCTCGTGTACCACATGTGACACAAATCCCAATAAAGAACCTTAAACCTAGAGTTACCCTATGAAATCAATGAGTTACTTCTAGAGTTGCCTGTCTGTGATCATTGTTACATGTAGAGTTACTCGTTAAAACTGAGGTGGGTGGAGGGGGTATTAGACGAGGGCAGAAAACAGATTGGTAACCAGAAGGGCGGTCCAGAGCTGTTCCAGGGCTCCGGTGGGCGGCCATGAGGTTGTCCGGCAACTTGTAATGTCCATGGCGAAAGGCCGGGCGACCCTCCAATATCTTACAATGGGTCCTGTGGCTCTGCAGCAGGCGACGTGGAGGGGTCAGAGCTGCAGCAGGCGATGGGGTCAGAGTTGCAGCAGGCGATGGGGTCAGAGTTGCAGCAGGCTTGAAAGTCATGGAATTTGCAGCTGAGGCTGACCTGCTGCAGGCGAGGAGAGAGGAAAAGTATCTGAGTTGGGTATACTAAACTTGGCACAGAACATGGTTTTGAAGAGTTGTAGCTGAATGTCCAGGTTAGTCAATGAGCTCTCAAGCCCTGAGAGCCACTCCTGTTCTGGCTTAGAATCCATTTTTGGCTGAATTATTCTGTCAGGGACAGGTTTTTGGATTCTTTATAAGCCAGACACAGGAGTGCAAAAATTAAGAACAGTTTTTAAATAAGACAAGGCAAGGATACAAGATCCTATGAATGAAGGCTTCACTATCAGGGACCACAAGTGGTGTAATAATTCAGCACTGGTGGAGAGGGAGAATGGTGCTTAAATAGAGACATGAACAGGTGAGAGGCATGAAGGTTGATTGTGGTGAATCAGCTGAGGGGGCGTGGTGACAGAGAAGTGCCATGAGCATATTTGAAGTGCAGATTGACAGGAGTTGATGTGAACAGTGACAGGAGCTGAGGGATAAACAAAACATGAAGGAGAGGGGCAGAAAACATGGCATGACATGAAGGGGCAGGGAAGTGAGCAGATGGGAGGCCAGCGGGGGCCGCTGATCATGACATCCGGGTATGTTTTTGGGTTGTTTTGTCATGTTGGAAGAAGTTTTGGTTCAGTTTGAGGTCCAGATTTTTGTAAAACATGTTAGATTCACCATCCTCGGTGACCATCTTGAATGTCGTTGACTCATAAATCATCTGTTTCCTTTTAGAACTTGAATATTTATTAGGTTGATTTAGTTGTTGAGCTTCAGATTTTACTGAACATATCTTCAAACTTTTTGTGTCTGACTTCATTTCTCTGACTTCTCCCCCCTCCTGTGTTCTTTGACCCCTCTCTGTTCATTTGTCTCTGATCCCCAACCCCCGTGCCTCTAACTCCTTTCCTTTCAGTGTCAGCCATGTTGGAAAGTGAGAGCATCCCGAGTCTGGCAGGCGTGAAGCCGATGGGCTACAGGAACCGCTCATCCAGCCTGGACACAGACGCCGATGGCCCCACCAGCTACACCCTGCAGACTCTGATCCGACAGCTGAGCCAGTTCAACAGCATCATGCGGGACCATGGACTGGATCCCGAGATAGTGGGCCAGGTGGTCCGACAGCTGTTCTACAATATCAACGCCATTACCCTGAACAACCTGCTTCTGCGGAAAGACATCTGCTCATGGAGCACTGGCATGCAGCTCAGGTACTGGACTGGTTCCTGGGATTCATCTCTCTTGGGTCCTTCATCTACAGGATCAGAGATAGGACCCACATGTTAAGAGTATAGAGTACAATTCAGAAAACTCATAAAATATAGGAAATTAGAGCTGACAGTGACAGATAAAGGGTGGAGGTCTACTGATTCTGAGCTTGTTGATTAAGATAGAAGATCTTTAGTTCTGTTCTGGTTAATTCGTCAGAACCTGGTTCTGTGTGTTTCTGGGTCAGGTACAATACGAGTCAGCTGGAGGAGTGGCTCCGAGCCAACAACCTTTTCCAGAGTAAAGCTGCTGCAACGCTGGAGCCAATCATCCAGGCGGCTCAGCTGCTGCAGGTCAAGAAGAAGACATCTCAGGATGCTGAGGCCATCTGCTCTCTCTGCACAGCCCTCACCACGCAGCAGGTTAGTGAATGTGGACATTTCTTCTGATGTTTCATATCTGAGTTTGTAGTTTTGGTCTGGTCTGATGTTTTATTAAGCACTCAGTTCAGGACTAAACTTTAATTCATCTTCTCTGGTTTCCCCTTAAATCAAAGATGAAAGTAAATACCTGAACTAGAACTTCAGGTCTGGATTGTTAAGGATTTGAGTCGTACTAATTAATTTGTCTGATCTGCAGATTGTGAAAATCCTGAACCTCTACACACCTCTGAACGAGTTTGAAGAACGAGTCACTGTGTCCTTCATCAGGAACATCCAGGTGAGTCTCACACAGGTGATGTCTTTTTGGGTTTGAGTGAGGAGAACCAGGTTCATCTGCTGGTGAAGCTGCAGGAAACAAACATCTGTAACCATCCCATCTCCATGGTAATCACTGGTGAGTCCTGACCTTTGACCTATGCATGTTTCTGTCTTCAGAATCTCCTCCAGGAGAGAAATGACCCTCCTCAGCTCCTGGTGGACACCAAACAAACCTTCCCTGTCCTGTTCCCATACTCTCCGTCCGCTCTGAGCCTGGAGATGATTCACATGCCCACCTCCCTCGGACTGGACTTCCTCATCAGGGTCTGACTGTCCTCTGAGCTCCTCTGACTCTGATGTTTTCATCAAATATCTCTTCTGTCTGTCCTCCTGGGACTAAGTCCCATAGGACTTCTGTCTGTCCTCCTGGGACCAAGTCCCATAAGACTTCTGTTTGTCCTCCTGGGACCAGGTCCTGTAGGACTTGTCTGTCCTCCTGGGACCAGGTCTTCTGTGTGATTAAAGAGGAAGTGAGAGATAAAGGAGGATGAAGGTCGGGGAGAAGTTACAGGAAGTTCAAGGAAATGATTCTAAAGCAGGGCTATTCAACAAAACTGCTCAGGGGGCCACAGTTTCTGTAAGCCAACAGCTCGGGGGCCGGACATCCAGCGATTAAAATTATTATGTAAATAAACCAAGTTTTACAGTGATCTGTTACCTTTTAAATTTGTTTATTTTATTGCATTGAAACATAAATGCAATAAAAAAAGAACCAAAACCTTTTTTTTTAATGAAGTGGGCCGGATTGAAGTCACCCGTGGGCCGGAAATGGCCCGCAGGCCACCACTTGAATAGCCCTGTTCTAGAGAAAAAAATGATACCAAGATTTAAACATTTGGACAAATTACGGACCAAACATCTGGACAGGTTTTAAACCCAAACATCTGGCTGTATGTTTGGTAAAAATAACTTCTAACTTTTTATAAACCTGAAAACTGACAGAATCTATTTAGTCTGATTAGATTCTGACACTTAAATATTTAAAATGCTCTATTTTCATTCCCGGGTCCAGATGTGTTAGTCCGTTTTTTCTCAGCAGATGTTGGGAGTCAGATTCAGGAACAGGTTTGAGTTTGAAAAAGGAAGTTTGTTTTTTCACAGCAAAAGCACGTTAGGAGGTAAAAATAAAAAGATTTCTGTTTTCTGTTAGATAAAAACTGACAGACAGTCTTTTTGTTATGTTCAGAGCTCTTTGTAATAAGAAGTGACATTTTTTCTGATCTCATTTTATTTTATTTTATTTTTTATTTTTATTTTTTTCTGGTTATTTTGTTGATTTTGAAAAACTAATTTAAATCAGCTGATTCTCACTGCCGTCTAAAGAAACCTTTCTTGGGCCTCCAAGGAACTTTATTAAAAATGTAAATTTATTACTGAAGTAACGTTAGTAAAAAGTAACTTTATTCAAATGATCATTTTGTGTGAAACAGTTGAGGCTCAGTCTTCTGCAGAGACACCGGGGGATGATCTTTGTCCTGGTTTCAGTTGCACAACACGCCTTTAATGAAAAACTTCCTGACTTTAATTTGCTGCCTTCTTAAAGAGAAACTGCACAGTTTAAACCTCTTGAATATAAAATAGTTTTTATTTCTAATTCTGATGATGATGATCTGATGTTTTGAGACTTCTTTGTAGAGTTTGTTCTGTTGAAGTCTGAACAGATTCAGGTTTTAAATATATTTTGGAAACAAAGTCAGTTTTTTGTTCTGAGTTGATTTTTTTTTTTTTTTTACTGGGTTTGTCAAATAATGTTTCACAGTAAAATAGAAATTAAAAATATTTATATACAAGTGTTTGATTCTTGCACGTGTTGTTAAGTTTTTGTCTTTATAAGCCCCAACTCCTCACTAACAGCCTTGTGCTTCTGATTGGTTTTACAACAGAAACAACTTTAAATAAATCAGTCATCTTCCGAACTAGGGAATGTTTTGTTTGTAAACATGAAGCTTTCTAAATTGAGCTGTAATCGAAAAGGACCAGGAAATCAAACCGGAGCAATGCCTTCATTACTACAGACAAATTCTCAATCTTTGGGTCCATTCTTGAACTCCATGGACCCAGAGGCAGAATTCAGAACCATGGTCTCAGCAGAGGAGTGTCTGAGATCAGGTCTTGGTTTGAAGGTACCGACAGAGCCGTATCATCCTCAAAAAGGAGAGCTGAGACCCAGAAGTTCCCAAACCCTCTCCTCTGAGATCCTCTTCAGATTCTATCCTTAAAGACCACAAACAGGATCAGGGACCAGGAGTGGGCCTGGAGGAGTCCAACCTTCACCATGGGGCGGCTGTGGTTGAGTGGTGAGAGCAGTTGTCCTCCAATGCGTGAGTTGGGGGGTTTGATTCCACCAGCAGTCACATTCTGAAGTGTCCCTGGGCAATACACTGAACCCCTCACTGCCTCCCATGTGTGTCCCATCGGTGTATAAATGTGATTTAAAGCTCTGATTATTCTTTGTATAGATCTAGTAGAGTGCTGTATGAATGGGTAAATGAGGACACAGATTGTAGTGTAAAGCGTTTTGAGTGTCGATAAGATAGAAAGGCACTAGTCAAGTATAGGAACCAGCTTGTGCCGAACATGTGGACACATTTCTGGTTTTGGTTCTACAGGGACCAGGTAGATTTTACAAGTAACTCCCCATAGAATGTCTCAAGTACCATGGTCTTAGGCCTCCCATAGATCCAAAAAAGTCATGTGTACTCATAGTCGGACTTTGAGTCTAGTCAGCTGTGAGTGTCATGTTTTATATAGATTAAAGTTCATAGTGTAGCGTGTCAACACTCAGCAACTGAGGGAGATGTGTGGCTCTTATAGACCAGAAATCACCCACCAGATGGTGTTTTATAGGCTTTATTTTCAACACACAGAGTGAACCCCACAGGTCTTTGTGACAGCTACCCCTCTCACTCATGGTTACTCTACCATTAACAAGCCTAACACAATCTAACAAACTAGGCTAACAAGGACAGACTAATCACTAAAAGAACATGTTAAACAGCTAACCAAAAGATAAACAATTAACATAAATTTTACCCATAATCCCTCCCTGAGGTCATGTGACTGACAGTCAACCACAGCAGAAGTTACATAACCCCCACCTGAAGGGCTACTTGTCCCTGACAGCATATTCACTCAAAACATAGTTCTACAGGCATTCTGGCCGATGACGCTGGCGCACAGGAGGTTGGAGACATTGAGGTGTGACTACAACAGGTGAGTCAGTGAGAGAGGTGTCATCTCCCGTGCCAGCAATCACTGGAGCATGAGGGTGGTATGGAGCAAGTGCTGTCCTGATCTAGAACAACCAGGCGTCTCCGATGAGGAAGTTTCACCCGGTATACCATCAGACAGATGCGTCACATTTTCAGCTGGCCCCTGTCACTGACTGAGAAGCTTAGGAGAGACTCCCTTCTTACATTTTGGGCAGTACACCCACACATTGTCCCCTGGTTCAAAAGCCCACCTGTACAGGGGATGTCATAGGATCTCTTCTGCATTATCCCTGTATCAACTTGAACTTTATGGGTGTAGTTATTTATCCTCTGAAGTTGCTCCCCGAGTTTTTGGAAATAGTCTGTTTCCACTCTACCAGCAATCTCAGGCTCTGGTGGGACCCCAAACACCAAATCCAGTTGGGTGTGCAACTCTCACCCGAACATCAGGGCAGCAGGTATACATTGACTGGACTCCTGTACAGCAGTTTGGTAGGCCCACAAGACCAGCGGGAGGTGCCGATCCCAGTCCCGCTGGTGTTGGTCCATGAGGATTGTCAGTTGTGTGGCCAAGGTGCGGTTGAACCTCTCCACCAGCCCGTCACTCTGTGGGTGGAAAGAGGTTGCCCTTGTCTTCTTCACCCCCAATAGCTGGCAAATTTTGCCAAAGACCTGAGACTCAAAAGTTGTACCCCTAGTCACTGTGAAGCTGAGCTGGGACCCCATAGTGGGTGAACATCTGTAGATGAACATATTCTGAGATATATTCATAAATTAAACGGATTCATTCATTTTTCTGGACTGAATAATGTCGTGCATTGAATTTAATAAAATGTATCGTGAGACGTTAATTTTCTTTGACCCATCAAATGAATGCGGTCATTTATTTACAGAATCAAAGTTTAACGTCACACATTTACATTAATTTGGCAAATTGAAAAATAACAACATGGCTAATTTAGCAAGCTGTACAATTAGAAACCATACGGCGATGGTTTCCCTTGCTTCCAGCTGTACAACAGACATTTCTAAAAATATCTGGAATGATTTGCTAGCAGAATAGAAGAGTTTAAAGATGGAAAATGAAATTTAGAGGGAGGGAGATGGTGTGTGTGAGTGAAAGTGTTGAACAGAACGGCACCCTCCATTCGAACCCAGCTTTCCTCGGTACGCTCGGTAATAAACTCGACTCATTACCTCTCTGACGATGAATCAGTGGAAACGGAGTTCCAGTTCACGCTACCGGTCCAGCGTCTCCGTAGGATGGCAGAGAACCGTCCGGAGTGGTGGCGGGACTTCATCAACAACAGTTCACCTCACGAGTGGACTTCACATGAGTGGAGTCCTTCAGAAGTTCCACTCAGATGTGGAAGATTGCATAATCCCCACAAGACTCGGAAGAACTGCGGATCATGTCGGGATTCTCCTGTTTTCTCCAGCACTTCTCGGTTCGGTTCTGCTCCCAGAACTGAACTCGACTGCACTCGACTGGAGCTGCAA